TTACTACCGAAGTGGCCCGCGTAGAGAACATCATGATATTCTTCGAGCAGTAACTGGCGTAAGGGAGGGTAATTAGGTACCCATATTTTTGTGGAGCCCTTGCGGTATGCGATGTCTTGATCCCAATGTAGAAGATGGCGCTTTTCTGCTACAGAGACTTCGGGGTCGATGGTGTATCCATGCGTGAAGAGTCCCTTCAAAAGTGGGTTCATGCCATCGATTTGTAAGGCGGCAACGTGTGCAGGGCGACTCAGTGCGTCTGCCTTGTTCTTGTGCCCCGGCTTATACACGATGTCGTAATGGAAGTGGGTTTCGAGAAAGTCAATCCACCGGACCTGCCGCCTGGAGAGTGTTGGTTGGGTCTTCAGGTACTTGAGGCTGCAGTGGTCGGTGTAGACAGTCGTTTTTCTTCCTTCGAGATAACACCTCCATGCCTTAAATGCGTTGACGATGGCGAGGGCCTCTTTGTCATGGATGGGGTAATTGAGTTCTGCCCCGTGAAGTTTTTTACTGAGGTATGCAATGGGTTGCAGTCCCTTCCCTTGATCCTGCATGAGTACTGCGCCCACTGCTTGATCGCTAGCATCGGCCTCGATGACATAGTCAAGTTCAGTGTCTGGCAGGATAAGAACAGGTGCGGACGTGAGTGCGGTTTTAAGTTGTTCCACGGCTTCCTGGTGCTTCGCCTCCCATTGATATGGTGTATTCTTCTTCAACAGGTTCGTTAATGGTGCGGCAATCTTGGCGTAGTTCGGTACGAACCGGTTGTAGTAGTTGGCGAATCCAAGGAACTGTTGTAACTCCTTCACGTTCTCAGGGGTCTTCCACGTTCGCACTGCTTCGATCTTCTTAGGATCCACGTGAACTCCTTGAGCGCTCACCATATGTCCAAGGAACTGGACTTTTTTCAACGCAAACTCGCTCTTGGATAGTTTCACGCAGAAGCGTTCTCGTCGAAGAATTTCAAACACCCGTCGTAGATGCTCAACGTGCTGCTTCATATCTTTCGAGTAGATCAGGATATCGTCCAAATATACCACCACGCACTCGTCCAGAAGGGGCCGAAGGATGTGGTTCATTTCCGCCTGAAATGTGGCTGGTGCGTTAGTGAGTCCGAATGGCATCACGAGATACTCGTATGACCCGTACCGAGTTCGAAAAGCGGTTTTGTGGATAGAGTTGTCCGCCATACGAATTTGCCAGTATCCCGATCTGAGGTCGAGCTTGGAGAATACCGTAGCACCGCGAAGTTGATCGAGTAAGTCGTTGATCCGTGGTATCGGGTATTTATTTTTTACAGTCTGCTTGTTCAAGGCTCGGTAGTCGATGCACATTCACAGACTTCTGTCTGGCTTCGGAGTGAAGAGAAGTGGAGCTCCGTACGGCGAAGTCGAAGGTCGAATCAGCCCTTTCTCCAGGAGATACTCTATTTGTTTTTTCATATCGGCAAGCTCTGTCGGGCTCAGCCGGTATGGTGCTCGAAATGTTGGCTTGGACCCCGGCTCTTCTACGATCTCGTGTTGATGTGTCCGGTATGGCGGTAGTTGATCAGGTAAATCGTCGGGGAGAACGTCCTGGAACTCTTCAAGAATTTTCTTGACTGCTGGAGGAAGTTCCTGGGTCTGCTTCTCTCCGTTGTCTGCCTCGTTGACTATCGCCATGAATCCCGCCGTGGTCCGTTTGACGTCCTTTTCAAAGCGTGCGAGTGTCTCGACTGGAATATTTCCCATGTCGTCCCATTTGGGAAGGCTGATTTTCCTCCCGTTGTTGTTGATGTTGGCCGTCTGGTTAACCCAGTTGATCTCGGGGTTGAACTTTTTAAGAAAGTCTCTCCCGAAGATTACGTCGAGTCCTTTGATATTTGTGACGGGGAGAGCAGGCTTCCATCGAAGGGGTCCAATCTGGAGTAGCAACCATGTTTTTCCGTAGATAGGTAGCTTACCGCCATCCACCATCGTTGCAGAGAAGCTTGAGGACTTGATGTCACCTCCGAGTCGATCGATTGCCTTTTTGTCATAGACGCTGTGCGACGCCCCGCTGTCCACGAGTGCTTGGAGGCGCTGTCCGTTGCAGATCACCTCGAGCAGGAGTGGTGAGCGTTGCTCGGAGTACCCAAAAATAGTCTCATCAATAGGATCATAGGGTACATCCCAATATTCAGTACACACCGTGGTTCCACTGCTTTCTTCTGGACAACTAGCTGGCCTGGGCTGCGTGGAGAAAGGCTCTTCTCCAATGCCAGGAGTAGAGGTAGTAACCGTACAAGTTGACCCTGAGGGGGTGGATCCGGTCGACGCCTGCGATCCACTGGATGCATCCTTGAGGGGTTTTCGGAGTTTCTGCAGCTTCTTTTGAACTCCCAGCTGCCTCTTCAGCTGCTTCAGCTCCATAGACTTCTTCCCTGGGGAGTGGAGAGTCGTCTTGGGCTGGTTCCGGGAGAGGACGTTGACGCCGTGAAAGTGTCTACTCCTTTCCACACTCCTTAATTTTTTCCCCAGCTCCGTAGGCACCGGTACCACTTCTTTAATTGTCTGCTTCCTCTGGAGTTCTTCCCGGAATTTGTTTATGGCTCCGGACCCGCGAAAAACGCCAGTCTTCATAAAAGCATCTTTGAAAGATAACTTTAACGAATTCTGTTTTTTCCCGGGGTCGAATTGGAGAGTTCCCGTCTTGGTCGAGTCTGTTTTCGCGGAGGTTTTCTTTTCCTCGGCGAATTCCTCTGACAAATTTCGGTCAAGGGGCTTGGGATTTCGCCCTTGATTCTCCAAATCTCGCGCCCAATGCTGTCCTTCAATTTCGATTCGGTCCAGATTGCGCTGACGCTTTCGGATCTGTTTTTTCTCGCCAGCACGATCCGCAATCGCTGGCGAGATCCGTTTTTTGACTTTTTGTTTTTAGTTTCGCCACTCCCACGAGCTCGGAATGCCGCACGTGCAGATTTCATGTGAAAACAGTCGACAATCCGATGTCCGTTTCTGTCAGAGGTCCACTGGTGATCCCCGATCGATCCTAGGGAAGGGTTACAGGCACGTTTGCCTGGGGGGTTATGGGCGCACTGACCCGCTACTGAAACAAGCCCTTTTATCCCAATGGTCTAGTGGTTGGGATTCTGAGATGGTATCAGAGCGAAGGTCTCGGGTTCGAATCCCGGTGTATGCACTTCGGGCATCCCAGTGCGGGGGGGTGTCAGAGGTCCACTGGTGATCCCCGATCGATCCTAGGGAAGGGTTACAGGCACGTTTGCCTGGGGGGTTATGGGCGCACTGACCCGCTACTGAAACAAGCCCTTTTATCCCAATGGTCTAGTGGTTGGGATACTGAGAGTTTCCGCCGCAAAATTCGCAAAGTGTTTTGTTTTTTGCAGGACGTGAACTCGCGTCGAATTTGTCGACTTCCATGGGGTCGGCGAACGTGGTTGAAGCCGAGCGATCCCCTTGTCGTGATCCGACAACGTGGGGTCGTCGTGTCCCGGAGTTGACCAAGTCAAAACGCTCCGCGGCCGATACGATTTCGCTGTAGCTGCTGCAATTCGCTGCTGCAACCTGGCGCCGAATGTCGGTTTTCAGCCCCGCGATGTAGGACAGAATTTTTTCGCCCTCGGTAATGTCGGGAATGCGATTATAAAATTCCTCCATCTGCTGCGTGTATTGCGCGACACTCCCGTATTGCCTATGGTGATGTAATTTTTTGCGCGCAATATATGTGGAATTAATCGGCTCAAAACGTTTGAGAAGGTCTGCCCGGAACTGCTGCCACGTGGCTTCGCCCTGGAAAATGCTACTGTTGCTTCCGAGCCACTCGAGAGCTGGACCGCGCATCAACGTTGTCGCGAGACGAATTTTCTCGCCGTCGTACTCCGTTGTCGTCCATCCGATCGCCGCGAAATAAATTTCCATCGTCGCGAGCCACCGCCTGACGTCGGATTTTCGATCGCTAGGGTCGAACGATTCCGGCGAGCGAAGTTTCGGAACCTCGAACTGACGCTGCGACTGCTGCAAAGTCGTCGAAGCAGGAATGTTCATGGTCGAGAGGAGCCGCGTAACGCGCTGCAGTTCGTTTCGCAGCTGCTCGTTCTCCAATCGCGACCGTTCAGTCGTCGCTTGCATCTCCGCTTCCATCTTGGCGATTTGCGCGAAGAGCTGCTGCGTAACGTCCTTGGTCGCCGGCGAACCCATCCTGTTCAAAAACCACGCGAGGGGGTTAATTCGAAAAGCGCGGAATTGGTACTTACCAGAAATCGGCGTTGAATTGGTCGCCCCCGGCAGTTTTTCGAGGCGATTTTTTCCGCGACCGCTGCTTAGCTGAGAGTTGTCAAGTGAGAACGGCTCTGATACCAAGTGTCACAGGATCGAATTCTCAATCGAAACTTGTCACTAAAACTGAATACAAGGCCTATTTATACTCGGAAAGTACAAGGATAAACTAGATAAAACGAACCTTCGGGAACACACCCTTCCCGATACTACAATCACAAGTGCGCATAAGCACGCAAGTCTATTGGCACTTGGGATTACGCCCAGATTACACCGTATACACCACTGTCGGCGCTGTCGGTGCCGTATAATAGGTATGTCGGTGGGAAAAGTAGGAAATAAGAGAAATAAATAGAAGGCTCTAGAGAATAGAATAGTAGGCCGATTGAGATGAGATAAAGACCAAAATAAAGAGGAGAAAAGGGAGAATGGGATAACGGAAAAATATAATAGTGAGAAAATATTATAACGGGGACGTCCTCTCACACTTGTGGCCCTTTGCTTTTGCTCACTGTGTGTGGTGACGTTGTGATCCACCGTGAGCTTGCATTGCTTTTCTTGATTGGTCTTGTGACCCCTTGCTCTCCCCCACTTTGCCTCTGCGGGTGTGTCAAATTATATATATGTGTAGGCTGTAGTGGGGTAGCCAATATGGGGTTTAGCCCCTTTAGGGTTTCATACTTGTACCAAACTTTGACCTAGTTCATTCATTCATGCTTGCTATCTTGACACTATGCTCTGCGCCCTATGCTCTGGTTCCTATTCCCCTTCTTGCCAAACCTCCACCCGCCCCCGCCCCTTTCCAACCCCTACCCCTCATGGTTTTCCCCTTCCTCCCTTTCCCCCACCCGTTTCTTCCTCCCGCATGAGGCAGGGAGGAGGGCAGGAGAAAGGAATTCGAGGGTGGAGCGTCGTCCACTGCGGCATGTCTCAACCTCTCCCCCTCTACCCCTCCTCCTTCCTTTCTCTCTGCCCGCCGCGCCCTTCCCCTGTTCCTCATCGCAGGGGGGGTGGCGCACAACATAGCGGAGTGCATGGCAGCACTCTCCGCCGCCCCCTTCCTCATCTCAGCTGTGGGGGATGATGCTGCAGGCAGGTCGCACTACTGCAGGCAGGTCGCACTGCTGCAGGCAGGTCGCACTGCTGCAGGCAGGTCGCACTGCTGCAGGCAAGTCGCACTGCTGCAGGCAGGTCGCACTGCTGCAGGCAGGTTGCAATGCTGCTCTGCTCTGCTCCCCATGCCACTCCCCTCCTCCTCTCTTGCTCCCCTCCAGCCTGCCACTGTCCAACCCCCCCCCTCTCTCACGGCCCTCTAGGCCCATGGCTCACCCTTTCTCCCCCTCTTCCCCACATTTCCCTCATTTCTTCACCTCATTTCTCTCACTGCTTCGCCTCATTTCCCTCACTGCTTCACCTTATTTCCCTCACTGCTTCACCTCATTTCCTTCACTGCTTCACCTCATTTCCCTCACTGCCTCACCACTGCGTCGCGCAACACCCCTTTGTCTCCTCAATTGTACGCGTCCGCTCAGGTAGCTACCCTATGTGAGTGTCGCCGCCTGTCGCACCAGACTCTCCTTTGGCACCACCGCCTTGGTCACCCCTCCTTGCCTCGCCTTCGTAGCATGCACTCTCGCTACCTGGTCTCTCGTCCTCCCCGGTCTCTGCCCTCCCTCCCTCCCTTGCCTGCGCCGCCCTGCATTCTTTGTATCGAGGGGCGGCAGCGCGCCGCTCCTCACTCCTCCTCGTTCCCTCCCACAGAGGCTCCACTGCAGACTCTCCACCTGGACCTGTGGGGCCCAGCCCGCGTCCGTAGACAGGGCCACGAGCGGTACTTCCTGCTGGTAGTCGACGACTACATGCGTTACACCACGCTCTTCCCCTTGCAGCGCAAGGGGGATGTTCCTGCAGTTTTGATCCCTTGGATCCGCGCTGCTCGTCTCCAGCTCCGCGAGCTGTTCGAGTTGGACTTTAATGTCCTACGTTTGCACTCTGACAGAGGTGGTGAGTTCACCTCTGACCTCTTGGGAGCCTACTATGAGGAGCACGGCATCCGCCAGACGTTCACGCTTCCAGCCTCTCCACAGCATAATGGGATTGCTGAGCGCCGCATTGGCTTAGTCATGGAGGTCACTCGTACCTCCATGATCCATGCGGCTGCCCCCCATTTTCTGTGGCCGTTTGCGGTCCGGTCCGCCGCGCATCAGCTCAACCTCTCGCCCCGTGTCTCCGTTCCGGAGACTTCGCCCACACTACGTTGGACAGGGGAGGTTGGCAATGCGTCGCGGTTCCGGGTCTGGGGTGCTCGTGCCTTTGTCCGCGATACGACCGCGAACAAGCTCTCCCCTTACGCCATTCCCTGCGTCTTCCTTGGCTTTGTCCCTGACGCGCCTGGCTGGCAGTTTTACGACCCTGCCTCGCGCTGTGTCTTTGCGTCTCAGGACGTCACCTTTGACGAGTCGGTCCCCTTTTACCGTCTGTTTCCCTACCGCACTGCCCCTCTCCCCCCCCCCCCCCCCCCCCCCGCCGCTCTTTCTCGCTCCAGGTCCTCCTCGAATAGACCCCCTCCCTGCTCCAAGTCCTGCTCCTTCAGGTGTGTCTCAGGTAGACCCTCCTCCCTTGACTGAGCCGGTTGAGGTCACTGGTGACTCACGTCCTACTAGGGGTGGTCTTGCTCGGGGTGCTGCTTCTGGGGGTGCTGAGCCTGGGGGTGCGGAGCCTAGGGGTGCTGAGCCTGAGGGTGCGGAGCCTGGAGGGGCTGAGCTTGGGCGTGAGGGGTCTGGGGGTGCTGAGCCTGGGGGTCCAGCGTGTGAGGGTGCTGCGCCGGGGGGCACTGAGGCGTCTGGTGAGCAGTCTCCTTGGAGTGGCCGTCTCCGTAGTCGCTATGCTGGTGCCTCACCGCAGCACTCTCGTCGGCTTCTCCCTCTCTCCCCACAGCAGCTACGTGAGTGGTACGTTAACCGTCACGGTCGCGCTGCTGGAGCTGGACGCCCTGCTGCGGGAGGCGTTGGCGTTGGGAGCATTGGAGCTGGTGACTCTGCTACTGGAGGTGTTTCTACTCGAGTTCCTAGACCTGCTGTTCCCAGAGGTACTCCTACTGGAGGTACTGGAGCTGCTGGGGCTGGAGCTAGTGTTGGACCTGGAGGTGGTGGTGTCGACCCTGAGGTTGGAGACCCTGGAGTTGGAGGTGCCGGTTCTGGGGGTGCTGCTGTTGGAGACACTGAGGCTGGAGACCCTGGGGCTGGAGGTGCCGGTTCTGGGGGTGCTGCTGCTGGTGGTGCTGGTACTGGAGGTGCTGGTGCTGGAGGTTCTGGAGCTGTTGGAGGTGCTGGCGCTGGTGGCGCTGGAGCTGGAGGCGCTGGAGCTGGAGGTTCTGGAGCTGCTGGAGGTACTAGTATTGGAAGTGCTAGAGCTGGAGGTTCTGGAGCTGCTGGAGGTACTAGTACTGGAGGTGCTGGAGCTGGAGGTTCTGGAGCTGCTGGAGGTGCTGGCGCTGGAGGTTCTGGAGCTGCAGGAGGTGCTGGAGCTATTGGTGCTGGTGGCACTGCTCAGCCGCGACTGCTCTTCGCTCCGCCGTCACCTTCGTCTCTGCGGCTTTCTGACTTTGTGCTACGCCATGTTCTTACCCTCCCGTCTTCTACTGGTCTTCTGTTACAGCCTGGCTCTCCACTCCCTGCTCCTTCTGTTCTCAGCTCCAGATGTGAGGCTGAGATCTACGCCACAGCCATGGCTGCACAGGAGCTACGCTGGCTCACCTACCTGTTGACCGACTTGGGAGAGCGGCCTCGTTCTCCTCCAGTTCTGTACGTAGACAACAAGGCCGCCATTGCCTTGTGTCAGGAGCACAGACTGGAGCACAGAACAAAGCACATCGCTCTGCGTTACTTCCTTGCTCGAGAGTTGCTGCAGCGTCGTCAGCTTCGTCTTGTTCACGTGGCCACTCAGGCCAACACTGCTGATATATTCACCAAGGCACTTCCGCATGGTGATCATCAGCGCTTTTGTACGTTGTTACGCCTTGTGCCTATGTTTCCTCAATTGCTGTAGACTTTGCGTATACTGTGACCTATATATATATAAACATGCATGCTTGTTCTTGCTAGGTATTGATCACTGTGTTGTTGTTGGTATGTATATACCTCTGCATGTGAACTAGCCTTGTTGTCACAGGATCGAATTCTCAATCGAAACTTGTCACTAAAACTGAATACAAGGCCTATTTATACTCAGAGAGTACAAGGATAAACGAGATAAAACGAACCTTCGGGAACACACCCTTCCCGATACTACAATCACAAGTGCGCATAAGCACGCAAGTCTATTGGCACTTGGGATTACGCCCAGATTACACCGTATACACCACTGTCGGCGCTGTCGGTGCCGTATAATAGGTATGTCGGTGGGAAAAGTAGGAAATAAGAGAAATAAATAGAAGGCTCTAGAGAATAGAATAGTAGGCCGATTGAGATGAGATAAAGACCAAAATAAAGAGGAGAAAAGGGAGAATGGGATAACGGAAAAATATAATAGTGAGAAAATATTATAACGGGGACGTCCTCTCACACTTGTGGCCCTTTGCTTTTGCTCACTGTGTGTGGTGACGTTGTGATCCACCGTGAGCTTGCATTGCTTTTCTTGATTGGTCTTGTGACCCCTTGCTCTCCCCCACTTTGCCTCTGCGGGTGTGTCAAATTATATATATGTGTAGGCTGTAGTGGGGTAGCCAATATGGGGTTTAGCCCCTTTAGGGTTTCATACTTGTACCAAACTTTGACCTAGTTCATTCATTCATGCTTGCTATCTTGACACTATGCTCTGCGCCCTATGCTCTGGTTCCTATTCCCCTTCTTGCCAAACCTCCACCCGCCCCCGCCCCTTTCCAACCCCTACCCCTCATGGTTTTCCCCTTCCTCCCTTTCCCCCACCCGTTTCTTCCTCCCGCATGAGGCAGGGAGGAGGGCAGGAGAAAGGAATTCGAGGGTGGAGCGTCGTCCACTGCGGCATGTCTCAACCTCTCCCCCTCTACCCCTCCTCCTTCCTTTCTCTCTGCCCGCCGCGCCCTTCCCCTGTTCCTCATCGCAGGGGGGGTGGCGCACAACATAGCGGAGTGCATGGCAGCACTCTCCGCCGCCCCCTTCCTCATCTCAGCTGTGGGGGATGATGCTGCAGGCAGGTCGCACTGCTGCAGGCAGGTCGCACTGCTGCAGGCAGGTCGCACTGCTGCAGGCAGGTCGCACTGCTGCAGGCAAGTCGCACTGCTGCAGGCAGGTCGCACTGCTGCAGGCAGGTTGCAATGCTGCTCTGCTCTGCTCCCCATGCCACTCCCCTCCTCCTCTCTTGCTCCCCTCCAGCCTGCCACTGTCCAACCCCCCCCCTCTCTCACGGCCCTCTAGGCCCATGGCTCACCCTTTCTCCCCCTCTTCCCCACATTTCCCTCATTTCTTCACCTCATTTCTCTCACTGCTTCGCCTCATTTCCCTCACTGCTTCACCTTATTTCCCTCACTGCTTCACCTCATTTCCTTCACTGCTTCACCTCATTTCCCTCACTGCCTCACCACTGCGTCGCGCAACACCCCTTTGTCTCCTCAATTGTACGCGTCCGCTCAGGTAGCTACCCTATGTGAGTGTCGCCGCCTGTCGCACCAGACTCTCCTTTGGCACCACCGCCTTGGTCACCCCTCCTTGCCTCGCCTTCGTAGCATGCACTCTCGCTACCTGGTCTCTCGTCCTCCCCGGTCTCTGCCCTCCCTCCCTCCCTTGCCTGCGCCGCCCTGCATTCTTTGTATCGAGGGGCGGCAGCGCGCCGCTCCTCACTCCTCCTCGTTCCCTCCCACAGAGGCTCCACTGCAGACTCTCCACCTGGACCTGTGGGGCCCAGCCCGCGTCCGTAGACAGGGCCACGAGCGGTACTTCCTGCTGGTAGTCGACGACTACATGCGTTACACCACGCTCTTCCCCTTGCAGCGCAAGGGGGATGTTCCTGCAGTTTTGATCCCTTGGATCCGCGCTGCTCGTCTCCAGCTCCGCGAGCTGTTCGAGTTGGACTTTAATGTCCTACGTTTGCACTCTGACAGAGGTGGTGAGTTCACCTCTGACCTCTTGGGAGCCTACTATGAGGAGCACGGCATCCGCCAGACGTTCACGCTTCCAGCCTCTCCACAGCATAATGGGATTGCTGAGCGCCGCATTGGCTTAGTCATGGAGGTCACTCGTACCTCCATGATCCATGCGGCTGCCCCCCATTTTCTGTGGCCGTTTGCGGTCCGGTCCGCCGCGCATCAGCTCAACCTCTCGCCCCGTGTCTCCGTTCCGGAGACTTCGCCCACACTACGTTGGACAGGGGAGGTTGGCAATGCGTCGCGGTTCCGGGTCTGGGGTGCTCGTGCCTTTGTCCGCGATACGACCGCGAACAAGCTCTCCCCTTACGCCATTCCCTGCGTCTTCCTTGGCTTTGTCCCTGACGCGCCTGGCTGGCAGTTTTACGACCCTGCCTCGCGCTGTGTCTTTGCGTCTCAGGACGTCACCTTTGACGAGTCGGTCCCCTTTTACCGTCTGTTTCCCTACCGCACTGCCCCTCTCCCCCCCCCCCCCCCCCCCCCGCCGCTCTTTCTCGCTCCAGGTCCTCCTCGAATAGACCCCCTCCCTGCTCCAAGTCCTGCTCCTTCAGGTGTGTCTCAGGTAGACCCTCCTCCCTTGACTGAGCCGGTTGAGGTCACTGGTGACTCACGTCCTACTAGGGGTGGTCTTGCTCGGGGTGCTGCTTCTGGGGGTGCTGAGCCTGGGGGTGCGGAGCCTAGGGGTGCTGAGCCTGAGGGTGCGGAGCCTGGAGGGGCTGAGCTTGGGCGTGAGGGGTCTGGGGGTGCTGAGCCTGGGGGTCCAGCGTGTGAGGGTGCTGCGCCGGGGGGCACTGAGGCGTCTGGTGAGCAGTCTCTTTGGAGTGGCCATCTCCGTAGTCGCTCTGCTGGTGCCTCGCCGCAGCACTCTCGTCGGCGTCTCCCTCTCTCCCCATAGCAGCTACGTGAGTGGTACGTTAACCGTCAGGGTCGCGCTGCTGGAGCTGGATGCCTGCTGCGGGAGGCGTTGGCGTTGGGAGCACTGGAGCTGGTGACTCTGCTACTGGAGGTGTTTCTACTCGAGTTCCTGGACCTGCTGTTCCCGGAGGTACTCCTACTGGAGGTACTGGAGCTGCTGGGGCTGGAGCTAGTGTTGGACCTGGAGGTGGTGGTGTCGACCCTGAGGTTGGAGACCCTGGAGTTGGAGGTGCCGGTTCTGGGGGTGCTGCTGTTGGAGACACTGAGGCTGGAGACCCTGGGGCTGGAGGTGCCGGTTCTGGGGGTGCTGCTGCTGGTGGTGCTGGTACTGGAGGTGCTGGTGCTGGAGGTTCTGGAGCTGTTGGAGGTGCTGGCGCTGGTGGCGCTGGAGCTGGAGGCGCTGGAGCTGGAGGCTCTGGAGCTGCTGGAGGTACTAGTACTGGAAGTGCTAGAGCTTGAGGTTCTGGAGCTGCTGGAGGTACTAGTACTGGAGGTGCTGGAGCTGGAGGTTCTGGAGCTGCTAGGGGTGCTGGCGCTGGAGTTTCTGGAGCTGCAGGAGGTGCTGGAGCTACGGGTGCTGGTGGCACTGCTCAGCCGCGACTGCTCTTCGCTCCGCCGTCACCTTCGTCTCTGCCGCTTTCTGACTTCGTGCTGCGCGAGGTTCTTAGCCTCCCGTCTTCTACTGGTCTTCTGTTACAGCCTGGCTCTCCACTCCCTGCTCCTTCTGTTCTCAGCTCCAGATGTGAGGCTGAGATCTACGCCACAGCCATGGCTGCACAGGAGCTACGCTGGCTCACCTACCTGTTGACCGACTTGGGAGAGCGGCCTCGTTCTCCTCCAGTTCTGTACGTAGACAACAAGGCCGCCATTGCCTTGTGTCAGGAGCACAGACTGGAGCACAAAACAAAGTACATCGCTCTGCGTTACTTCCTTGCTCGAGAGTTGCAGCAGCATGGTCAGCTTCGTCTTGCTCACGTGGCCACTCAGGCCAACACTGCTGATATATTCACCAAGGCACTTCCGTCTGGTGATCATCAGCGCTTTTGTACTTTGTTACGCCTTGTGCCTATGTTTCCTCAATTGCTGTAGACTTTGCGTGTACTATGACCTGTATATATATACCTGCATGCTTGTTCTTGCTAGGTAGTGATCACTGTGTTGTTGTTGGTATATAAATACCTCTGCATGTGAACTGGCCTTGTGGCCCTTTGCTTTTGCTCAGTGTGTGTGGTGACGTTGTGATCCACCGTGAGCTTGCATTGCTTTTCTTGACTGGTCTTGTTGTCAGAATCCCAACCACTAGACCATTGGGATAAAAGGGCTTGTTAAGTAGCAGGTCAGTTTTCCCATAACCCCCCAGGACAACGAGCCTGTAACCCTTCCCTAGGATCGATCGGGGATCACCAGTGGACCTCTGACACCCCCCCGCACTGGGATGCCCGAAGCGCACATACTGGGATTCGAACCCGAGTCCTTCGCTCTGATGCTATGTCAGAATCCCAACCACTAGACCATTGGGATAAAAGGGCTTGTTAAGTAGCGGGTCAGTGCGCCCATAACCCCCTAGGACAACGAGCCTGTAACCCTTCTCTAGGATCGATCGGGGATCACCAGTGGACCTCTGACACTTGTGACCCCTTGCTCTCCCCCACTTTGCCTATGGGGGTGTGTCAAATTATATATATGTGTAGGCTGTAGTGGGGTAGCCAATATGGGGTTTAGCCCCTTTAGGGTTTCATACTTGTACCAAAATTTGACCTAGTTCATTCATTCCTGCTTGCTATCTTGACACTATGCTCTGCGCCCTATGCTCTGGTTCCTATTCCCCTTCTCGCCAAACCTCCACCCGCCCCCGCCAAATTCCAACCCCTACCCCTCATGGTTTTCCCCTTCCTCCCTTTCCCCCACCCGTTTCTTCCTCCTGCATGAGGCAGGGAGGAGGGCAGGAGAAAGGAATTCGAGGGTGGAGTGGCGTCCAGTGCGGCATGTCTCAACCTCTCCCCCTCTCCCCCTCTCCCCCTCCTCCTTCCTTTCTCTCTGCCCGCCGCGCCCTTCCCCTGTTCCTCCTCGCAGGGGGGGTGGCGCACAACATAGCGGAGTGCATGGCAGCACTCTCCGCCACGCCCTTCCTCATCTCCGCTGTGGGGGATGACGCTGCAGGCAGGTTGCACTGCTGTAGGCAGGTCGCACTGCTGCAGGCAGGTCGCACTGCTGCAGGCAGGTCGCACTGCTGTAGGCAGGTCGCACTACTGCAGGCAAGTCGCACTGCTGCAGGCAGGTCGCAATGCTGCTCTGCTCTGCTCCCCATGCCACTCCCCTCCTCCTCTCCTGCTCCCCTCCAGCCTGCCACTGTCCACCCCCTCCCCCCCTCTCTCACGGGCCCTCTAGGCCCATGGCCCACCCTTTCTCCCCCTCTTCCCCACATTTCCCTCACTGCTTCACCTCATTTCCCTCACTACTTCACCTCATTTCCCTCACTGCTTCACCTCATTTCCCTCACTGCTTCACCTCATTTCCTTCACTGCTTCACCTCATTTCCCTCACTGCTTCACCTCATTTCCCTCACTGCTTCACCTCATTTCCCTCACTGCTTCACCTCATTTCCCTCACTGCTTCACCTCATTTCCCTCAATGTTTCACCTCATTTCCCTCTCTGCTTCACCTCATTTCCCTCACTGCTTCACCTCATTTCCCATCCTGCTATCCCTGTTTGTACCCTCCTGCTTCCCTCATTTTCCCCCCAGCTTCCCCTCATTTCCCTCCCCCCACCCCCCCCGCTTCCCCTCATTTTCCCCGCTGCTGGCCCCTCATTCCCCTCCCTTGCTTTCCCTCGTTTCCCCCCCTGCTTCCTCTCATTTCCCCCCTTGCTTTCCCTCGTTTCCCCCCCTGCTTCCCCTCGTTTCCCCCTCTTCTTCACCTCGTTTCATCTTCCTACCGTATCTCACACTTTCCCTCTCCCCCTCTTCCCTATCCTCCCTCTTCTTATGGTACTTCCTTCTTTCCCTCTCAGCCCTGCTTCCCTCTTCCCCCTCTTCCCTATCTCCCCTGTTTGACTTTTGTCTTGTTCCCCCTCCCCATCCCTCGTATTCCCTCCCTCTCCCTAGGTAGTGCAGTGAAACCAATGAAGATTTTATGGCACAGCAACTTGCCAAAGCCCATCATCCCATCCCTCATGTTTTTTTCAAGGCCTTGAGAAGGGTACAATCAAAAGTAGGATCATGCCTCTATCTACCCTTCTGACACTCTTAGTGCCCATGCATCTTGGAAGAATATCTTGCACTGCAGAAACATATTGTGCTTTTGAGATGGATATCTCCAACAGTAATACAGTATCATGCTTGCATACAACACACAAGAAACAGGTGGTGGTACGACGTAAAGCATGGACTAGCTCTAGCTGCGCCTCGGCTTGCTCCTCTGCTTCCCCACTGAAAATTAGGGGAGTGGAGTAGGCAGAAAGAATTGTGTGACGGAACATGGGGGAGGTGGTGTGAGGTGCCAAGGGAACAACTGCAGGGGAACACAAGCAGGCGCACATGATGAAAGCATGTACCGTATTCTCCCAGACAAAACACCCTAGGGTATGTTGGGCTGAGGTGCCCTAGGATCTTTGTAGAGTTAAAGTTTGAGTAGGATGATGTAATAGCGGAAGCGTTGAATAAGAAAGCCTTGAACCACCTTGCGCTGGTATGTGAGGGCAAAGTAAGTTAATTAAAACAGGCAAATACAAAGCTTTATATAAGAGTACAAGGAACACGAATAGATGTAATTAAACTACCTTGCTGTTGCGATTCGATACAGTGCGACTCGGGCAACTGCTCAATGTCGAGTCAGTTGTGTGTCCTTGCTGTCGCGCTGTATTGGTCAAGTCAAAGGTCGCTGACCTTTGACCTTCCCGTAACCTTCAGGCGGTTACCCTAACCTCCGAGGGTTGACTCGCGATGCTATGATAAAGTTAGAACGAGAATCAATCAGCTATGAATGAAGTGAGTACATATAGGAAACCCTGATTGGGTTGTACCCCCTATGGGATACCCCACTATAGCCTACACAAATATATATAATCTATAATGTTCTGACACACCCCCATAGGCAAATTGGGGGAGAACAAGGGGTCACAAGACCAGTCAAGCAAAGCAAAGCAAAGCTCAGGGTGGATCACAAAGTCACCACACATTCCGAGCACAAGTTCAAAGGCCAGAAGGCCAGTTCACATGCAAGATCATATATAGAGATATACAAGAGGCGAGCAAGCAAGAGCAAGAGTATATATAGGTAAAAGTACAAGCAAGGTCAAGAAGTGAGCAAGTGAGGCAAGAGAGGCATAAGACCCAGCTGCGTGCAGCAGCGCTGATGATCACAAGGCGCAAGTGCCTTGGTGAAGACATCAGCAGTGTTGGCCTAAGAGGCCACGTACGCAAGTCGCAACTGTCCACACTGCTGTAGCTCACGAGCAAGAAAGTAGCGGAGAGCAATGTGCTTTGTCCTGGGCTCCAGTCGCTGCTCTCGACACAAGGCCAGCATGGCCTTGTTGTCTACGTACAGGACTGGAGGAGAACGAGGCGGCTCTCCAAGGTCGGTCAGCAGGTAGGTGAGCCAGCGTAACTCCTGTGCAGCCATGGCCCCGGCGTAGATCTCAGCCTCACAACTGGAGCCGAGAACAGAAGACGAGCGGGTAGCCCGCCACGAAACAGAGCCGGAACCAAGACTGAAGGTGTAACCCTGTGACGACCGCTGCGTAGCCTGGTCGTCAGCCCAAGAAGCGTCTGCGTGCCCAGTGAGGACCACTGGACTGCGCCCTCCAAGCACTAGCCCCATGCCCGACGTACTGCACAAGTAGCGCAACACCCTCTTCGCTGCAGCCATGTGCTCTGGTCGGTGTCTCCCAGGAGCAACATAGCGTGCAAGAATGCTCAGAGGGTATGCAAGGTCAGGTCGTGTGCAGGTCATCAGGTATATGAGGCAGCCAACAAGCTCTGCATACGGGCCACTCGACTCTATGGACTCATGCGAAGGCAGAGCTGAGAGCGAGTGGCGAGTAGGCAGAGGAGTGGCCTGAGGCGAGGAGTACGTGAAGCCGGAGCGCTGAAGGACCTGCTGCACCATGTGTGACTGAGTCAGGGTAATGGTGCGGCGTGCTCTGTCCCGGGTGATCTGCAAGCCAAGGTAGCTGCGCAGTTCACCCAGGTCAGTGCACGTGTGTCTCTTCTGCAGCTCGGACTTCACGTAGGCGAGTCCAGCAGTGTCAGCTGTGGCAAAGACCAAGTCGTCGACGTACACGAGGATGTAGAACGGCGGCAGAGAGGTGTCGGTGCGCAGAAGCAGAGACGGGTCTGCAGTGGAGGGAGCAAACCCAAGTGCCGCCAGCGTAGTCCTCAGTGTGTCGTGCCACTCACGCGGCGCCTGGCGGAGACCGTAGACTGGACGCCGGAGACTCCACTGGGTACCAGGAGGGAAAGACCCAGTGAAGCCAGGTGGGCGACGTAGCCAGATCTCCTCGTGCAGGCTGCCTTGCAAGAAAGCAGTGCTGAAGTCGAGAGAGTGCAGCTCGTAGTCACGGTGAGCAGCAAGGTGCAGCAGTACCCGAAGAGTGGTCATCTTCGGGGTGGGGGAGAAGGTCTGAAAGTAGTCAACTCCCTGCCGCTGACTGAAACCACGAGCCACGTACCGCGCCTTGAAGACAGGCGGAGAACCCGGCGGCCGCTTCACCCTGAAGATCCACATCCCACTGACGATGTTCGCCCCAGGAGGGGGAACAGCGTCAACGTAGGTGCCTGTGGACTTCCAGGAAGCCATAGCTGCCTGCCACTGAGAGGAGTAGGGACCCTCTACGGCCTCCGCGTAAGAGCGCGGAGTCGGGATGTCTAGTGCATCCGGGTCTCCCTCAGGGGCTAGCAGTACAGACGCGAGATGAGGTGAAGCGGCGGCCAGACACTGAAACTCCTCCTGCCTGTCCTCAAGGACGTCCGTGCCAAGGGCACACTCACCCCCGACGGACGGAGGACAGGTAGTCTCAGACTCAGCGACAAGACCAGCAGCGTAGTCTAGACGAGAGCGCGCAGCAAAGTGGACGAGCTCACTGACAAGGGCAGACGCAGCAGAAGACTCGAAAGAAGGGTCAGTGATAGCAGTAGCAAGGAGACGCGTGACAGTAGGACTGGCAGCACGAAGAGAGTCCGACTCCGGGTCGGTAAGAGCAGGAAGAGAGGAAGAAGGAGGAGAAGGCAAAGGGGCACGTAGAGGAGCAGTGGACGGACGCAGAGACATCCGGTGCGTGCCAGGGACAGGAGGCGGACGCTGACGCGAACCGCGACCACTAGTGCGCGCAGTACGAACAGGCGACGCAGGACGAGACGCAGGCTTACGACGCTCAATAAGACCTCCAGTCGGACCAGCATAGGGAGAAGGAGCAGGCAAAGGGGAGGCAGGCTGTAGCAGTGACTGGACAGGCTGTGGACCCTCTAAGGGAGGAGGAGGAGGACAAGGAGAGGGTGGAAGACCAAGAACCTGCTGCAGGAGCGGTACGAAGTACGGTCGGGGCCGCGTGGGGACGCCAGAAACAGCAGGGACAGCACCAGCACCCCCAGCAGGAGTACCCGCTCCAGCAGCACCTCCAGTAGCTCCTGAACCCCCAGCAGCGCCTCCAGTAGCCCCAGAAACTCCAGCAGCACCAGGAGCACCGCCAGTCGAACCACCAGTGGTAGTCTCAGCGCCAACATCCTCAGCAGCACCAGCCCCAGGCGAACCCGCAGGCTCAGCAGCTCCAGTACTCCCGGTAAGAGCACCTCCGGGACCCGCGGGAGCAGCACCCTCACCAGCAGAAGAACCTCCAGCACCAGTAGCATGCCTCCAGCGCCGAGTAAACCACTCACGCAGCTCTTGTGAGGAGAGTGGCTCTCGGTGAGACGAAGCACCCGGAGAACCTCCAGGCGAAGAACCTCCAGGCTCAGCACCCCCAGGCAAAGCACCTCCAGGCGTAGCACCCCCAGGCTCAGCACCCCCAGGCTCAGCACCCCCAGGCTCAGCACCCCCAGGCTCAGCACCCCCAGGCTCAGCACCCCCAGACTCAGCACCCTCAGACCCCGCACCCCCAGGCTCAGTACCCCCAGGCACAGCACCCCCAGGCTCAGCTCCCGCAGCAGCACCAGAGTCACCAGTGACCTCGACAGGCTCAACCGCGTCTACCTGGGACACACCTGAAGGGGCAGGACCCTGAGGGGGGAGGGGGTCGACCGGGGGGGGACCTGGTACCAAGAAGAGCGGGGGCGGGGGGAGGGACGGAGTGCGGTAGGGGAAGAGGCGGTAGTAGGGCACCGACTCGTCGAACGTGACATCCTGGGAGGACAGAACACGTCGAGAGGTGGGGTGGTAGAACTGCCACCCAGGGGCGTCGGGGGGGAACCCCAGGAAGACGCAGGGAGCAGCGCGAGGGGACAGCTTGTCCGCAGACAAGTCGCGGACAAACGCCTGGGATCCCCAGACCCGGAACGCCGACGCATCGCCAACCTTCCCCGTCCACAGCAGGGCTGGGGAGGTCTCCGGCCTAGAGACCCTGGGGTGGAGGTTGATCTGATGCGCCGCGTACCTGACCGCAAACGGCCACAGAAAATGGGGGGCAGCCGCATGCATCATAGACGTACGAGCGACGTCCATGACCATGCCAATGCGGCGCTCTGCAATCCCATTTTGCTGCGGTGAGTCCGGAAGCGTGAAGGTCTGGCGGATGCCTCGCGCACGACAGTAGGCACTCAGAAGGCCAGAGGAGAACTCTCCGCCTCTATCCGAGTGCAGACGCAACACTGGAAAGTCCGAGCCAAAGCTCTGCCTGAGCTGGAGACGAGCTGCGCGGATCCAGTCGATCAGCACCCCAGTGACATCACCCTTGCTGCGCAAGGGGAAGACTGTGGTGTAACGCGAGTAGTCGTCAACCACCAACAGGAAGTAGCGCTCGTGACCGAGTCCACGGACGCGGGCAGGGCCCCACACGTCCATGTGAAGCGTCTGCAACGTAGCCTCTGTCGGAGGAAACTGGGAGGAGTGAGGGGCAGCACGCTGGCGCCCCTCGACACAGGGGACACAGGCAGCGCCAGGGCCCTGAGGAAGGGGAGGGAGGGACCGGGGGAGACCAGACACAAGAAGACGGGAGGCCATGCCTCTGAGCCGAAGTAGGGAGGGGTGGCCAAGGCGGTGGTGCCAGAGGAGGGTCTCGTGAGACAGACGGCGACACGAACAGGGGGCAGACTCAGGACCAGACCTGGACGCTGCAGCAAACACCTGACCAGACGAAGAGACCCTACCAGACTCACCACCTGGAGGAGAAGCAGTGGTCAGTGTGTACAGGCTCGACCCTGGCTGACGCGTAAACGTAGCCAGGTGGCGACCTGTGCTAGCCTCTGTGCAGTGTGTCACCCGCTGACGAGCAGGAGTGAACTGGTGGACACCCGCATCCTGTAGGTCAGCACCACTCACCAGGTTCGTAGAGAACGAGGGGAGGTAGAGACCAGACAGGGTGCCAGAGGGAGCCGCCGGACACGGGAGGGCTGTGGAGAAACGAGACAGGACAGGACCCCCACAGGGGTCAGCCAGGGACACCGCAACCGGCCGACTAAGCGGCGTGAGAGTGGTGCGGTCCCGAAAGAAGGAGCGAGACGCCCCAGAGTCAAGGGTGAAGGTGTGAGAGGCCGAAGCCGACACAGTACCGGAGAGTGCAGACTCACTAGTACCAGGGAGCACAGACGCACTGGCACCTAGAGCAGCAGCCTCACTGGCACCTGACGCAGCAGTACCAATGCCCGGGTCGGGCGGGAAACACCGGTAACAGTCACCCTCATCACTAACAGTCACAGCATACATGGCAGCAAGGATAGCATCAAAGTCAAGATCAAAGATGGCTACACCAGCCCTAGACAGCTCTCCCCAGCGGGGGATCTCAGAGGCCTCCGGAAACTGCTGGCGCCAAGCGTCGGTCAAGCGGGAAAAGCAGCGGCGGGCGGTGTGGGTGCCCCCACACTGCTCACCCACGCGGTCGCCGTTGCGAAGGACGTAGGTGCAGGGACCGAACGCCCCACCACGCTGACGCTGCGAGTACCACTCACGGAGCTGCTGAGGGGCGGGGACGTCGCGAGAGCCCTGCTGCTGCTGCTGCTGCTGCTGGCGCTGACCACCCCCAGTGCTGCTCCGCTGGGACGAGCCACTCCGACCACCTCCACCACCGCCACCCCCGCCTCCGCCGCCACCGCCGCCACCGCCACCCTCGCCCCCGCCACTCCCACCGCCACCTGCACCGCCACCTCCGCTGCCACCTCCGCCTCCACTGCCGCCACTAGTACCTCCACCCCCGCCACCACCTCCACCGCCACCCCCACTCCCCCCGCCGCCCCCACCTCCTCCGCTACCGCCCCCGCTAGCTCCACCTGCTCCCTTGCCCCCCTTGCCCTTGCCAGAGCGGCGCCTACCGCTGGGGGCAGACGCCGCAACGACCGACTCTAGACCAACAAGGTCGGCCGCAGCAGCAGAGGCGACAGAGGGTAACAGGGGGGAAGGAGAACACCCCTCAAAGATGGGGGTGCGCGGGTCACCACGAGAGGCCCCTACAGCGACTATGCTCTTCTCGGCCGCTAGCAGGGACTTCTCGAGGAGGTCGACAGTGAGGGTGGTGGGACAGACAGAGAGAAACTGGTCCCTAACAGCACGAAGGGACTCAGGGAGACGGGTGACTAGAAAGTAGAGGGTGATGTACATGGGAGGGGGGTTTTCGGCGCAGAAGGCAGCAGGAAGCGCAGCTCGGTAGCGAGTCTCACTAGCGCGAAGGTGGGTAAAGAGGTCAGCAACTGTAGGAAAGGCAGCAAGGTCAGGGAAGAGGTACGGTAGCATGAGGTGGCTCAGTGTAGCAGAGGAAGGGGAGGAGTAGCGCGCAACTACAGCGTCGTACAAGGCCTGAGCGGTCTTGCACTGACTAAAGTGTGCGCGCTCGGAGGAAGGGAGGTGGCGACGCACAGCAAGACGTGCAGCAGCATCGCGTGAGGCCCACTTGGAGCGCACAGTGGGGTCAGCATCAGCAGGAGGGGCAGGTACAGCGCTAGAGACATAGTCAAAGAGAGAAACTTCATCTACCGTATCGCAAAGCAAGTACAGCTGCAGGTCGTCGACCCAGACCGCAAAGTCAATGGCGCGGCCCTCAGCGTCAAAAGCCAGGACACTGGGGGTGGCCATGATAGCAGCTGACAATCTCACCGGACAGGAAGGGTCGGGTCGCTCAGCAGCACAGCAACACAGCAGCACACCAACTCCGCCGGCCCAGGAGCAGTAGCAGCTCCACAGAAGCAGGAGCTCGGCACCTCAGACGGCTCGGGCGGCTCGGGCGGCTCGGGCGGCTCGGGCGGCTCGGGCGACTCGGGCGGCTAGGGCGGCTCGGGCACGCAGCAGCACGGGCGGCTCGGGCGGCTCTGCTGCTCGGGCGGCTCGTGCGGCTCGGGTGACGCTGGGGCTCACGGGCGGCGCGGGCGTCGTGGCGGGCGGCTCACGGGCGGCTCGCGGGCGGCTCACGGGCGGCTGCACAGGCGGCTGGGGCGGCTCACGGGCGGCTCGTGGGGTTGCTGCACGGACGGCTGCACGGGCGGCTGCATGGGCGGTTGCACGGGCGGTGCACGGGCGGCTCACGGGCGGCCGCACGGGTGGCGCGTCGGGCGGCAGCACGGGCGGTTGCACGGGCGGCTGCACGCGCGGTCCACGGGCGGCTGCACGGACGGCTGTACGGGCGGCTGCACGGGCGGCGCGTCGGGCTGCTGAGGGCGACTAGCGCACGGGCGGCTTTGGGTGGCGCACGGGCGGCTCTGGGCAGCGCGCGGGCGCTAGGGCGCTAGGGCGCTAGGGCGGGCAGCGGGTCGTGAGAGCGCTAGGGCGCGAGGGCGGGCAGCGCGCGGGCGCTAGGGCGATAGGGCGCGAGGGCGGGCAGCGGGGCGCGGGCGCTAAGGCGGCGCTCGGGCTGCTAGGGCGGGCGGCGCTCGGGCCGTAGGGCAGATCGAAAAAAAAGTAAGAGCAAGGGCCCGGAGCGCGCTCCGGGCAGAAAAAAAAGTTCGATGTGGTGGGCCCTAAGCACAGTTCCCACGGGGGAACCTGCTCGATACCATGATAAAGTTAGAACGAGAATCAATCAACTATGAATGAAGTGAGTACATATAGGAAACCCTGATTGGGTTGTACCCCCTATGGGATACCCCACTATAGCCTACACAAATATATATAATCTATAATGTTCTGACATGCTTCGATTTGGACTTCTTCGCTTTGTGTCCTGAGTTTCGACACGACAGAGGCGCTTAAGACTTATTGTTCCCAACAGGGTATAGCAGAAAATACAGGGAAAAAATGGGGGTTTCTCGTCATAGGAAAAAAATACATAATACCCGGGTCTTAACATATGGCATATTTTAGTGTTAGTGTTTTTTTAATTAGTCAATGTGGGTGTTTTGCTGTCATTTAAGCATCAGTGCCCGAGGCGCGAATGTGAGTTTCGGCCTCGCACTTCATCACCCCCACGAAAATGCCATGTGGCACCTCTCTTGCCACTTGCAGCGGAAGATTCACCTGCACGTGGTGACAGCGAAATAGTGGGAGGGGGCAAATCTCGGCAGATTGCATTTGAATGTACCGAGAAATTTCATCGAGGGAGAAATTCACGCGATATTCTTCCGTATTGCAGCTATTCGTTAACGACTAGAATAATGAATCCGTAAGAAAAGGGGGGTGTTATAGAAAATCAGCCAAAAAGGGGGGTATAGTAGAAACGAGGTCAATCATAACACCCACCCCGCACAAGCTACCCGGGGGTGTACAATTATGGGGGGGTGTTTTGTCCGGGAGAATACGGTACCGGTATGGGGAGACAGTGATGGGTGCACATGCATGGTAACTGGAGGGCGGAAGGTGAGGGGGAAGGGGAGGGCATGACATGAAAGGGAAGGGTTGAGAAGGGATGGAGAAGTGAAGGGCAGGGCAGGGAGGGAAAGGCAGGGATGGCGAGGGCAGGTGGAAACAGGGGAGAGGGTGAGGGGAAGGAGGGCTGAGGGTGGTGGGAAGGAGAGTGCGAGTGCGAGAGGACGGAGAGAGAGAGTGCGAGAGGACTGAGAGAGTGAGTGCGGGAGGAAGGAGAATGAGAGTGATGGGAGGCAGCAGGGGGGGAAGCAGGGAAGGGGATGGGGGGAAAGTAGGGAAGGGGATGGGGGGAAGCAGGGAAGGGGATGGGGGTAAGCAGGGAAGGGGATGGGGGGAAACAGGGAGGGGGATGGGGGGAAGCAGGGCAGGGGATGGGGGGAAGCAGGGAAAGTGATGGGGGGAAGCAGGGAGGGGATGGGGGGAAGCAGGGGATGGGATGGGGTGAAGCAGGGGAGGGAATGGGGTGAAGCAAGGAAGGGGATGGGGGGAAGCAGGGAAGGGGATGAGAGGAAGCAAGGGAGGGGATGGGGGGAAGAAGGGAAGGGGATGGGGGGAAACAGGGAGGGGGATGGGGGAAAGCAGGGGAGGGGATGAGGGGAAGCAGGGAAGGGGATTAGGGGAAGCAGGGAACGGGATGGGGGGAAGCAGGGAAGGGGATGAGGGGAAGCGGGGAAGGGGATGGGGGTAAGCAGGGCAGGGGATACGGGGGAAGAGGGGATAGGATGGGGGGAAGCACGGCAGGGGATACGGGGAGACAGGGAAGAGGATGGGGGGAACGGGGGCAGGTGCTAGGGAGAGAGTTGGGAGGAGGATGGTGGGGAGCAGAGAGGGGATCAAAACGTTGTTCGATTGTGGTGGCGGAAGCGACCACCTCTGTTCCTCCCCATCTGTTGCTCCCCACCTGTTCCTCCCCATTTGTTCCTCCCCATCTGTTCCTCCCCATCTGTTCCTCCCCATCTGTTCCTCCCCATCTGTTCCTCCCCATCTGTTCCTCCCCATCTGTTCCTCCCCATCTGTTCCTCCCCACCTGTTCCTCCCCATCTGTTCCTCCCCATCTGTTCCTCCCCATCTGTTCCTCCCCATCTGTTCCTCCCCGTCTGTTCCTCCCCGTCTGTTCCTCCCCGTCTGTTCCTCCCCATCTGTTCCTCCCCATCTGTTCCTCCCCATCTGTTCCTCCCCATCTGTTCCTCCCTGTCTGTTCCTCCCCGTCTGTTCCTCCCCGTCTGTTCCTCCCCATCTGTTCCTCCCCATCTGTTCCTCCCCATCTGTTCCTCCCCATCTGTTCCTCCCCATCTGTCCCACCCCTTCGGAAGGAATGAGGGAGGAAGGACGGGTGGAGATGGTGAGATGGGGAGAGGGGAAGAGTGGCTGGAAACGCGGATGACGAGGGGAAGCGCGAGTGACTGGGAGGCAAGCCCGACGACGAGACGCGCGGGCGACGAGGGGAGGCGAGGGCGGCGAGGGGAGGCGAGGGCGGCGAGGGTCGGCATGGGTGATGAGGGGAAGCACGAGCGACGAGAGGGAATGTGGGTGACCAAGGGAGGTGAGGGCGGCGAGGATCGGTGCGGGTCGACGAGGGTGATGAGGGGAGCGCGGGTGACGATCTGAAGCGCGGTATGTTTACTATCAGCAATTGCGACGAGGGGATGTGTGGTTAACGTGGGAGAGCGCGGGCAACTAGGGGAACATATGCGACCAGAGGGTCGGGGAGGGTGATGAGGGAAAGCGCGGGCGACGAGGAAAGCGGTCTGGAGTGGGCAAGAGCGGCCGACGAGGAGGAACATGTGCGACTAACGGCTGAGTGCGTCACGCGAACCAGTACGGCATTCGCGTGAGCGACTCGTGCCTAAAACGGTACGCTCGTGACACGAGGCTGGATGGCAGCAAGTGTGACAAGGGCCTGCGTGTGCAACGCGAGCTTGAATGCAAGACTCGAGTAACGCGAATCTCGTTTACTAACGTAAGTGCCGTGGGTGTACGGGTTGTAACACGAGACCGGTGACGTGAGGGAGAGATCGGAGCGTGCACTGACTAAGATGGTTGAGGTGGACTTATATTTCCTTCCGCACAAAAAATAAAGCCTATCAACGACTCGCTTTTGCCAACTAGCACTTGTTTTTGCCTTGGAGCCTCCTAGCCTGAAAGTACTACTTGGTAAGCAAGTTATGTGAGTGGTGAACAGTACAAATGTTGGCGATCATCGCGTCAGTTCTGGTTTTGGGCACTCGGGTTCCGTTATCGTAGGACGATTGCCTGGGGTCGCGAGAATTTTCTCCAAACAAGTAGGGTAACCCTGTTTCTGGCGACTTCAAGTTCAAGAATCTTGAACTTGAAAATTACCGATTGCAGCAGCTGAACAGAGAAGAGATGGAGGAGAGAGTACGAAGCAAGTGGAGGAAGTGAAGGTGCAGAAACTAGTCAGGAATGGTTGACTATTGGGAAGATTGGGTAAACTACAAAACCCTAGCAATGTGTTGTACCCCATATGTGCTACCCCACCACAGCCTACACCCTATCATTATATATATAGTTTGACACACCCCCATAGGCAAAGTGGGGGAGAACAGAGGGTCACAAGACCAGTCAAGAAATGCAAAGCAAGCTCAGGGTGGATCACAACGTCACCACACACATTGAGCACAAGCAAGAGGCCACAAGGCCAATTCACATGCAGAGATATATATGCAACAAGAATAGCACAGTGATCTCTACCTAGCAGAGCAAGCATGAAGGTATATATATAGATCACTGTACAAGCAAAGTCTACAAGTGAGGAAACGTGGGCACAAGGCCTAACAAAGTACAGAAACGCTGATGATCACCAGACGGAAGTGCCTTGGTGAATATATGTGCTTCGTTCTGTGCTCCAGTCTGTGCTCCTCACACAAGGCAATGGCGGCCTTGTTGTCGACGTACAGCACTGGAGGAGAACGAGGCCGCTCTCCCAGGTCGGTCAGCAGGTAGGTAAGCCAGCGTAAATCCTGTGCAGCCATGGCTGTGGCGTAGATTTCACCCTCACAACTGGAGCTGAGAACTGAAGACGAGCGTGTAGAACGCCAAGAAACTGAACCAGAGCCAAGGCTGAAGGTGTAACCCTGTGACGATCGCTGCGTAGCCTAGTTGTCAACCCAAGAAGCGTCCGAGTGACTAGTGAGGACAACGTCGCCCCGTCCTCCAAGCACGAGCCCCATGCCCGATGTACTGCACAAGTAGCGCAGTGTCAAACTCATATGCTATAGTCTGTGTAGGCTGTAGTGGGGTAGACAATATGGGGTACAACACTTTTAGGTTTTCCTACTTGTACCCACTTGCTTGCTAGTTCATTCGTTCCTCATTCTTCACATGGTATAGAGCAGGTTCCCTCGTGGAAACGCTTCTCAGGGCCCACCACCTAACTCGATCTTTTTTTCCTGCCCGAGGCGCGCCCCGTAGGCCGCCCTCGCATCGCGCCCTCCTAGAGGCCCCTCGCGCCACCCTTAGCGGCCCCGTCGCCGTTCTTTCCGGCCCCGTCGCCGCCCCTCTAGGCCCCTCACGGCCCCTTCGCGGCCCTGTCGCCGCCCCTCTAGGCCCCTCGCGGCCCCTTCGCGGCCCCGTAGCCGCCGCTCTAGGCCCCGTCGCCGCCCCTCTAGGCCCCTCGCGGCCCCTTCGCGGCCTCGTCGCCGCCCCTAGCGGCCCCGTCGCCGCCCCTCTAGGCCCCTTACGGCCCCTTCGCAGCCTCGTCGCCGCCCCTCTAGGCTCCGTCGCCGCCCCTCTAGGCTCCGTCGCCGCCCCTCTAGGCCCCTTGCGGCCCCTCTGCGGCCCCGTCGCCGCCCCTAGCGGCCCCGTCGCCGCCCCTGGAGGCCCCGTCGCCCCCCCCTTCGCATCCACCTCGCCGCCCTCCGCGGCCCCGTCGCCGCCCCTAGCGGCCCCGTCGCCGCTCTTCGCGGCCCCGTCACCGCCCCTAGCGGCCCCGTCGCCGCTCTTCGCGGCCCCGTCGCCGCTCTTCGCGGCCCCGTCGCTGCCCTTTGCGGCCCCGTCGCCGCCCTTCGCGGCCCCATTGCCGCCTCTACCAGCCCCTTCACCGCATAGCCGCCCAGTAGCTGAGCAGCCGAGCCACCAAGCCGCCGAGCCGCCAAGCCGCCCAGCAGCCGAGCCGCCGAGCAGCCGAGCCGCCGAGCCGCCCAGCAGCCGAGCCACCGAGCCGCCGAGCCGCCCAGAAGCCGAGCCGCCGAGCCGCCAAGCCGCCCAGCAGCCGAGCCGCCGAGCCGCCGAGCCGCCCAGCAGCCGAGCCGCCGAGCCGCCGAGCCGCCCAGCAACCGAGCCGCCGAGCCGCCCAGCAATCGAGCCGCTACTGTTCCTACCGGCGCGCCCCGGCCCTACTTACTCTGACTGGTGAGATCACTCCCTGCTAGGCCACTGCAGTCATGGCTACCCCCAATGTCCTTACCTTTGATGCTGAGGGGCGTGCAGTTGACTTTGAGGTCTGGGTCGATGACCTCCAGCTGTTCCTACAGTGCGATAGGGCAGACGGACTCTCTCTGTTTGATCTCACCTCTGGTGCCTCTCCTGCCCCGCCGACTACTGCTGACAGCACTGTTTGCTCACAGTGGGCCACACGCGATGCTGCTGCCCGTCTTGCTGTGCGTCGCCACTTACCGACCACTGAGCGTGCACACATTAGTCAGTACAAGAGTGCTAAGACCTTGTACGACGCTGTAGTTGCACGCTTCTCTTCCCCTGCCACTACTGCTCTTAGCCGCCTCATGGTGCCGTACCTGTTCCCTGACCTTGCTGCCTTTCCCACAGTAGCTAACCTCATTACGCACCTTCGCACTAGTGACACCCGCTACCGCGCTGCGCTTCCTGCTGAGTTCTGTGCCAAGAACCCTCCCCCCATGTACATCACCCTCTACTACATAGTCACCTGGCTCCCTGACTCCCTTCGCTTAGTCAGGGACCACTTCCTCTCAGTTTGCCCCACCACACTCACCATTGACCTCCTCGAGGAGCACCTCCTAGCAGCAGAAAAGAGCATAGTCGCTGTAGGAGCCTCTAGTGGTGACCCTCGCACCCCCGTCTTTGAGGGGTGTTCCCCCTCCCCCCTCTTGCCCTCTGTTGCTTCTGCTACTGCGGCCGACCTCGTTGGCTTCGCGTCGGTCGGCGCTGCGTCTGCCCCTAGCGGGAGACGCCGCATCGGCAAGGGCAAGGGGAGCAAGGGCGCTGGAGGGGCTGGCGGGGGCGGTGGAGGTGGTGGTGGAGGCAGTGGAGGGGGTGGGGGTGGTGGTGGGAGTGGTGGCGGGGGTGGAGGTGTCTGTGGCAGCAGTGGAGGCGGAGGAGGCGGCGGCGGTGGCGGAGGGAGCGGAGGCGGCGGAGGTGGTGGAGGTGGCGGAGGTGGCGGAGGCGGCGGAGGTGGCGGAGGCGGCGGCGGCAGCGGTGGACCTGGTCGCGGCTCTGCGCAGAGGAGTGGTTCCGGTGGTGGTCCGCGCCAGCAGCAGCAGCGCAGTCGTGAGACCGTGTCCCCTCAGCAGTTTCGTGAGTGGTACGCTGGGCGTCAGCGCGGTGGGGGTACAGGTCCTTGCACCTACGTCCTCCGTACCGGCGACCGCGCTGGTGAACAGTGCGGGGGCCCGCTTTCCACCCAGTGCTGCTTCGGCCGCCTGACGGACGCGTGGCGTCACCAGTTCCCTGACGCCACTGAGATCCCTCGCTGGGGAGAGCTGTCTAGGGCGGGGGTCGCTATCTTTGATCTTGATTATGATGCTATTCTTGCTGCCATGTATGATGTGTCTGATTGTGTTGAGGGTGACTGTTACTTGTGTGTTCCGCCTAACCCGGGCATTGATGCTGCTGCTCTTGGTGCTAGTGCGTCTGCTGCCCCAGGTGCTGGTGAGTCTGCCCTCTCAGGTACCACGTCGGCTCAGGCCTTACACACCTTCACCCTTGACTCGGGTGCTTCCCGCTCCTTCTTTCGAGACCGCACCACGCTTACGCCGCTTAGTCGGCTGGTTGCAGTCTCCCTGGCGGACCCCTCTGGGGGTCCTGTCCTTGCTAGCTTCTCCACTATCTTACCGTGTTCAGCAGCCCCCTCTGGCACCCTGTCAGGTCTCTACCTCCTCTCGTTCTCTACAAACTTGGTGAGTGGAGCTGATCTACAGGATAAGGGGGTTGACCAGTTCACTCGTGCGAGTCAGTGAGTGACCCACTCCACGTGTGCTCAGACGGGCTGACACTTGGCCACGTTTACTCGTCGGCCGGGGTCGAGCCTGTACACACTGACTACTGAGTCTCCTCCGGTTGCTGAGTCTGGTCAGGTAGCTGCGTCGAGTCAGGTGTTTAATGCAGCGTCCAGGCCTGGTCCTGAGTCTGCTCCCTGCTTGTGTCGTCTCCTGTCCCACCAGACTCTCCTTTGGCACCACCGCCTTGGTCACCCCTCCCTGCCTCGCCTCCGAGGCATGGCCTCCCGTTACCTTGTCTCTGGTCTCCCCCGGTCCCTCCCTCCCCTACCTCCGGAGCCTGCCCCTACCTGCGTTCCCTGCGTCGAGGGGCGGCAGCGCGCCGCCCCTCACTCCTATGAGTTTCCTCCGACGGAGGCTCCACTACAGACTCTTCACATGGACGTGTGGGGCCCCGCCCGCGTCCGTGGCCAGGGTCACGAGCGTTACTTCCTGTTGGTGGTTGACGACTACTCGCGTTACACCATGGTGTTCCCCTTGCGCAGCAAGCGTGACGTCACTGAGGTGTTGATCGACTAGATCTGCGCAGCTAGTCTTCAGCTCAGAGAGAGTTTCGGCTCGGACTTTCCTGT